TTCCCTCCCAGGACGGTGGAGCTGGGGCTGGGGCAGGGGAGGGCCGCAGGGAGGGGAGGCCCCGTGCAGCTGCCCTGAGCAGGGTCACCTTCCTGTCCCTGCGGCCACTGTGACCCACGTCACCAGGTGGGCTGAGTGGGAAACAGGGGTGCAGCGGAGAGAGGGGTCCCATCCCACAGAGCCTTTGGGCCGAGCTCCTCCCCACTCTCCCTTGCCCCTCTGAGCTCAGGGCTACCCCTCGCCTCCCCAGCCCCTCCAGTGAGGTCGGGGCAGAAGCCCAGGAGTCCGGCCGCCCCGCCACCCAGACCCACAGAGCCTGCCCGGAGCCAGCGGGCCGACAGGCTTTGCGCTCACTCGGCCCTCCTGCCGACCCGAGGGCCTGGCGCCTCCAGGGTGCAGTGATGGGAGCCTGGTGGGCAGAGCAGCAGATGCCCCGGGGCCAGAGGGCACCAGAGGGGCTAGTGTCCGGTGTGGAGGATCCACCGCCCTGAGGTCTGACCTCAGCCACAGGAACCTCTCCAGGGGCCTCCCATCCTCCCAGCCCGGCCAGCTGCCTCCTCCAAGCCCTCAGGCCCTGCTCACTGCCTCACCCTCCCTGGGGCTCTCGGGAGCAGGGACCATGTGCCCCTGAGTCTCCCGCACCCAGCAGGGGACAGGCCCACAGCAGGTGCTCACTGCGTGCAGGGTGCCGAACTGGTGACCGAGCGAAGGCGTGAGTGAGTGAGTGACCAAATGAATGAGCAAGCAAGCGGGAAACGAGGGTGTGGAGGGCCCAGCGGGCTGGACTGAGGCCTGGGCCCTGCTCACAGCCAGGCTCTGAGTCCCCGGGGCCGGCTGTGCCCTGGAGCAGAGGTGGCCGGCCCCGCACTGACATGGGCCCTGAACACACAGGTCTGGACGACACCTCCTTTGCCCACCCAGGACCCCAGGGGCTGAAGGTCTCCCCACAGCCAGGTGAGGACCAAGGCTCTGCCACAAGGTGGCCGTGGACTGGGCTTTCCACGAGGGACATCCAACCACAGGGACCTGGGGAGACCAGCTTGTGCTGGGGGTCCCTGGGGGGCGGGGCTGCTGGCTGACACCCAGACCCCCCACGGCAGCAGCTGGCTCTCCCGTGAGGCTCAGTGGGCCTGGGACTTGGGAGGCCGCGAGCAGGGGCTCCCCAGGGGCCCTGCCGGCCGGGGGACCCAGAAGCCCGAGACCCACCAGCTCCCTCCACAGCGCCCGGCAGGGGCTGGTGCTCCACATGGGGGACCGGCCACTTCTCCACCTTCGACGGCCACATGTATGACTTCGAGGGGACCTGCAACTACATCTTTGCGGCCATCTGCAAGGACGCCTCCTCTCCCACCTTCAGCGTCCAGCTGCGGCGAGGGCCCGGCGGGGACATCTCCCGGGTCATCGTGGAGCTGGGGGCCTCGGTGGTCACGGTGCAGCAGGGAGCCATCTCCATTAAGGATGTGGGGTCGGTCAGGGACCAGGGCCATGGCTGGGGGGTGGGGAGAGGGTTCCGGGGACGAGGGAATGGCCAGGGCGAGGGCAGCTGCTGACTGCTCCCCACTGCAGGGCCGTCAGCCTGCCCTACACCAGCAACGGGCTGCAGATCACCCCCTTCGGCCAGAGCGTGCGGCTGGTGGCCAAGCAGCTGGAGCTGGAGCTGGTGGTGATGTGGGGCCCCGGCGCCCACCTCATGGTGAGGACGCAGTGGGGGCTGCACCTGAGGCAGGAGTTGGTGGGCAGAGCTGGGGGCTGCCCCCGGAGGGGGAGGTCCTGACCGGTCCCCCAGCTCCTCCGGCCAGGAGCCCGGATGGGGAGGTTCAGTTTCCCCATTTGAAGATGAGGACCATCCAGCAAGAAAAGAGGTCCCCGGGAAGGGAGGGCGGTCACAGCCCATACGGTGAGGGTGCCCAGCTCCTGGAGCAGGCATCTGCGGTCTCTGCATCTGGGCGAGGGGTCCCCGGCCTAGGGAGCCCCTCCCCGCCCTGCTCACCCCGTGTGCCAACCACCCGCCCTCGCCCACAGGTCCTGGTGGAGGACAGGCACATGGGCAGGATGTGCGGGCTCTGCGGGAACTTTGACGGCGAGAAGACCAATGAGTTTCTGAACGAGGATGGTAAGTGGGGGTGGGCGGCGACCCCTGCACCCAGCCCGGGTGCTGACCCTGTGCCCCCTGCAGGCACGCACCTGGAGCCCCACAAGTACGCCGCCCTCCAGAAGCTGGACGACCCCAACGAGATCTGCACCCACGAGGCCATCCCCGGCCCCCGGGTCCTGCAAGCAGAGCATGTATGTGAGGGCGGGCCACACAGCCTTCCCAGTGGAAGCACTGGGTGTGGGGCGCGGCCTTCTCCCCGTGACCGAATGGCCCTCTGCCCAGGCCCGGACCTGCGCCCAGCTGCTGGCCCTGGTGGCCCCCGAGGGC